CATTATTTGTCTGTTTCTCTTAGTTTCCTCTCCCCTTCTCCTTTCAAGTCTGTCACATCAGGGCTGCCCAGACTTCCTGATGCTGCAGGATTCCCATCAGCAGCCTGGCAGTGACGGGTATGTCCCCAGGAAGCTGAGGGGAGAGGGCACAAGGCCACAGGCAGAGCAATACCTCCCCAAGGGGACAGAGTGACCCGTGGAGGTCTCAAGAGCCTGCCTGTACCAACCACCTCCTGGCACAGAAAACGTACAGCTCTCTGCAGTCCTAAGTTACATCCTGGGGAGATGGAGCTGATAGCAAGGAAAAGATTTCCTAATTTTCCTCCAGCTCTCCTGATTCCTGTGTGTTGGAAGAGTACCTGCAACGGGAGAAACAAAATGTTTGAGACTTGCTGACCAAAGGAGCTCCTTTCTAACAGCTGCTCAGGACTGGTCACAGGCAGTCACACAGGCAGTCGCTGACACTTGTGCCACTGCACTGCTGCTGCACTGCTTCCTTTGTAGGGCCAGAAGAGACCTTTAAACACCCAGAGTGCAAGGTGTGGAGTCCCCAGCACGGAACTTGCATTAGTGAGGTAAAAAGCCTTGTCTGTGGAGGCTGCTGCTTGGTCCTGCTCCTGGCTGAGAATGCAGAGCTCCCAGAACTCTGCAGCCCTTGAGGGCAGAACCCCACTTTAATTTCCTGGGATACACTGACAGCTACAAGACATAGCTGAGAAGAAAGTTTCCTCTACAGCCCCAGACTCACATTTCTAATGCAAAGGATGCTGTTCCAGGGCTATTTTGCTTTCTAACTTTTTTGCAGAGTTAGATTTAACCAGGGTTTTATTTTCTTGTTTTTGCTTCTTAAATGCCCCCGAATCTCAGCGAGGTTTGTTTCAGCAATCTCATGTGGACATGCCAGCCTTAATCTCACTCTTCCAGGCCCTTCTCATTGTCTGGGATGAAAGCCCAGCGCAGAGCCTCCCCGTTAATTGCAGCTTTCTGTTTGCCAGTGACAGGTGTATTGTCTGGAGGAACAGAGCCGGTTGTGTCCCTGCGCAGTGGGACATCAGCTGCTGATATTACAGAGCCTTTCAGGGAGCTGGGCCACGGCTGCTTATTTAGTGCCATCATTTACAAATCTGTGTAGCCCAGAAACTTAATAGAAAAAACGGGACCTGCCTGTATTACTCATCTTTTTGGTGGTTTTGTTTGTTTTTTTTTCCCAAGCAAACTACTCCTAAACCTCCCATCCTCCTACCAGCAAGACAGGGCATTTGGTTCTGATCCTCTTTGAAACACTAAACCTTTCTGATACCTTTTTTCCATACTTTTCTGTTTTGCTGGTTTAACCAGACACCCATTGTGCATCTACTTGAACCTGGCATGACAGCTAGGACAACAGTCATTTCTGTGAGGTGCCAATATGCACAGCTGAGGTCACAGCCATCAGGGAGAGATGGTTGATATCCTCTGGAGCTCCTGAGGAGCACCTCAGCAGGATCTGGATTTGGGGACAGTGGCTGTGCCTGCTTGGTCAAGTAAAAAGAGGAGCTCTGGTGCTCAGAGTGAGGAAAGGCAGCAGCGAGAGAGCTCCTGAGAGATGAGAGGAAATACAAGGGCAATATTAGACCCAGATTGCATCTGTCTCTCCCGTTTTTCACATGAAAGGCTAAAGCTTTCCATACGTGGCTGTTGCACAACAGCAGAGCTGCAGCGGCCAGAAACACAACAGACCACTCAGCAGATGGCCCAGCCTCTCTGCAGGAGCCTGGCAGAGAGAAACCATCTCTTTGCTGGGTTTGATCACGTCAGTCACAAGGCTGGGGGGTCTACAAACAACTGGCAGAAGCAGTTCCACATCAGTTTGCAGGAGCACGGGTGCTGAGAAAGCCCAAGGCCACTGTGCCCAGCTGGGCCCCGGGGTCTCTGGAGTTCTGGAGCTCAGATAACTCAGGGGTACATCCCCAGGAATCCCCCCTCACAGCCCTTCTGCTGCCAGAAGCTGTTCCCATTCAGAAATGGCTTTTTCAGGGGCTCTCTGGAACTTCCTTCACATCTCACTTCATCCCGTGCTGCACCACTTCTCTGCTCCAGCTTCAACCTCTTCTTTCAAAGTAATGGAGGCACCCCCTTGGCCTCAAATCAGCACTCCATTTCCTCTAATGAATTCAAACATGTCAAATAAGTCTGCTTTTGGGAGTTTCAGTTGCAAGGAAGAAGATCCCAGTAAGCTCACCTTCTGTCCTGCCTGGGCACACACTCCCTCCATTAGCTTTGGTTTAGCCACAGGTTGGTAAAGTTTGAGTCTATCTACTTCTGATCCTGTCAGAATTGTATTTAAATCCTTCTGACAGATCCTTGGCTTGCAGCTCGTTAACAGATCGTTGTTGAGGCGAGATGTTTGAGATTGGAGGGTTTGGAGCAGGAGAGACACATGGTGCATTTATTCTGCAGCTCAGCCTTTCCCTCCCTGCCTGGCTCCACTCCTGACACGAGTTCACCCTGGGACATCTCGGAGCTGCTGGCTGGTTTGGGAGCCCGGAGCACCCACCAGGCAGGAGTGTGCTGGAGCATGCAGCACACACAGCCCTGCTGAGGAATCCCTCAGGGACCCCCTCCTGGCCAGCCTGCCTTGCCTCTGACCAGCTCCAGGGAAAGCCCATCCTGGGCAGGGCTGGCAGGGCGTGCAGGGGCCAGCCTCACCCTTGACGACTTGGCTTTTTCTAACTCCTTTATTCTAGAGAGAAAAAACCTGCCCGGTGCTTTCCCTGCCTGTTTGCCTCTCGCCCTGCAGGAGCAGGTGCAAGCTTTGCAGAGGAAAACCACGCTGAGGATCCTGTCAGACATTCCAGGGTACCCCAGCCTCTTGAAAAGGTCCAAGAATTCAAGATGCCATTTGTCATTCACACTTCGAGGAAGCACTGAACACAAAACCGGGGAAGCAGGCAGGTGTCCCGGGTATTTTGACACCAAAATTCGGGAGTTTGTCACGACACACCCAGGGAAGACACCCCAGCCCCTGTGCCCACCTGCTGGGACAGCACCAAGCATTCCTCCCATCCCGAGTTTTAAAAAACATTTCTGGAGTGCTATTTAACTTCCCTGTCAGATGTCTTGTAGGATGATAAACCTGGGCTGCAGCTCTGCTAAGGCTTGAAACAGATTTCAGGAGTGCTTAAAAAAATATGAAAAGTTTGCATTTTTCAGGCTTGAGTCCAGCTCATCACAGCAAGTTCAGTGAGCTCTGAGGCGTGCAGCCCTCTGAGGTGCTCCCAGATTCCAACAAGCCCTTCTTTATAGATGGGACCGGAGCATTAAAAATCAATGGAACCCGGCACTCCTCCTCAGTGCTTATTCCTTTTTTTTGGACTTTTTGACTTCCCCAAGTTCGTCAGAACAGCACCACCCTCCTGCCCTGCTCAGGGGGTGCCAGGGGCAGAGGGGGTGCCAGGGGCAGAGGGGGTGCCGGGGGCAGAGGGGGTGCCCGGGACACCTCCTGCCACCCCGCTGTGCTGCAGGGCTCAGGGACAGCAGCAGCCATCACTCTGCACAGCTCTTTGCCCCATAAACCCACCAGGTGTGAAGAAGCCCGTGGCAGGTGCTCAGAGATTTTATTCTTTAGCCCATCAGCTGTGTCACACGAGTGGGGCTGGGATCAGAAAGCTGAGGGATCAGTGTGAGCCCTTCCCAGGCATTTCCCAGCACTGGTGGAGCTGGGGGTGCCCCAGGGAGGTCTGGAGCAGGGAGCAGAGGCACCTGCACATCTGTGTGCACCTGGGACGGGGAAGGCGCTGCGTTTCTGGAAGGTAAAACAATAATTGTAGGACATCTGCTTCGTTGTCAAGGACCAAAAGGGAAATAAAGCTGTTGTCCCCTCTAGCTAAAACCTGCTGCTTCCTTTTCCCCAGACTCCCCACCACCAACTGCTCCACAGTTTACATGCCAATCCAATTTTGATGCCTGTAATTCACCCCAGAGACTGTTTATTTTAACTTTATCAAGTGAAGAGAAAAACAACTGTGGTAGAATGAAAAAAGAGCATCTGGCAGCAGGGTTTTCTGTCTCTCAGACAGTTTCCCAGCTCTGCTGGTGCACAAGAACACGGGATTTCAGCTCGCCAAGGGCTGGCAGAGGGGAGAGGAGCGCAGGTTCCCTGTGTCTTCAGGGGTGCTCGTGCCTGGTCTGGGGGCTTTTCCTGCAAGACTGGCACAAGCAAGAGAGAGGCTGGGGTTTGGATTTCTTCCCCGTTTTTGTTCTCTCCCACTGGCAAGTGTGTTTGAGCACTGGAGGAAAAAGTAGCCATTGCCCAGGAGCTTTGCCCACCCACCCCATTTTTGTTGGTCATCTGGAGAACAGTAATTTCTCAATAATTAGGAGGGACAGAGCAGACATGCAGATCTGCTTGGACACAGGGGACCCTGGGGTCATTTTCCTGCAAGAGAAAGGGTGTCAAGTAATTAATATTTAATGGTTGGAACAAATGGCACTTGATTTTTTTTAATCAATAAGGTTTTTAATTTCAGGCACTTATCTAGAAAGCAGCTGTGTTTGAACTTGGGAAAAATCTGACTCCTCTGCCTTGCTTTAAAGCACATCCTGGCTGCAGATGTTCCAGAGGTTCTGTGCTCTGCAGATACATTTGAGCATCCCTTTAAAGGTTCGGGACACTGAAGGAAAAGTTAAACTGGAGGGTGGATGTAGCTTACTCACAAAGCACTCAATTAATTTTGGTGACGTACAGCAGAACTCCTGCAACTTTTAAAATGGGCTTTTTAAATTTTTATTTTATTTTATTTTATTTTATTTTATTTTATTTTATTTTATTTTATTTTTTAAATTTTATTTTAATTTGCCACAGAGCACGCCGTTTTGGGTCGGTTTGGGTCGTTTTGAGGTCTTTATTTTATTTTATTTTATTTTATTTGCCACAGAGCACGTCGTTTTGGGGTCGGGTTTGGGTCAGTTTCGGGTCGGTTTGGGTCAGTTTGGCCCCGCCCTCTGCTCTCGCTCCGCCCCTCGGCTCTAGGCCCCGCCCCTCCCTCCGCGCGGCCCCGCCGCCATTTCGCTGCCCCGGAAGCGCTCGCGCCCCCCGTGCCCGGCGGAACATGGCGGCCGTGTCGGTGCTGCGCGCGCCCGCCGGCGGCTTCAGCTTCGACAACTGCGCTCGGTGAGGCCGGGAGCGGGACCGGAACGGGACCGGGAACGGGACGGGAACGGGACGGGAGCGGGCATGGGAGCGGGGGAGCGCGGGGCCGGGCCGGGCCGGGGCCCCGTGGCGCCCGGCCCAGCGTCCCGCTGTCCGCAGGAACTCGCTGCTGGAGGCCGAGCTGGTGCAGAGGGGGCTGCGGGTGCCCGCGCCGCGCAAGACCGGCACCACCATCGCCGGCGTCATCTTCAAGGTGAGGCGGGCGCGGGGCCGGGCCCGGGCGGCGCCGCCTGCTGAGTCAGCCCGGTGGGCCCGGCTGCCGAGCAGCTCCCGGCCGAGGGGATAACTCTCCCTCCCTGCAGGATGGCGTCGTCCTGGGAGCGGACACCAGAGCCACGGAGGGCATGGTCGTTGCTGACAAGAACTGCTCGAAAATACACTTCATTTCTCCGAATATCTAGTAAGTGTTGCAGTGCTTTGTCGGGTAGTGAATTGTTTGTTGTGTATGTTGGTATTGAGGGTTTTTAGCCACGTTCTTTACTAAGAGCAAATATTAAGCTCTGTTTTAAAATGATATTTTATTAGCAAGGCTTGGGGGTTCGTGGTATTCCGTTTACACTTAAGCAGGCTCTCTTGTTTCATGTTCCCTGTGCGAGGACTTAATTCCCTCAGCTTTACAATGAGAAAATCCTGCTGGTTGCCTGAGGTCTGTGTCTCCTTTTCCTCAGCTGCTGCGGGGCGGGCACAGCTGCAGACACGGAGATGACGACTCAGCTGATCTCCTCCAACCTGGAGCTGCACTCCCTGTCCACGGGACGGCTCCCTCGGGTGGTCACTGCCAACAGAATGCTCAAGCAGATGCTCTTCAGGTAACTGGGGGGTTCTGCTTTGTCACCCGTGCTGGTAAAGCACCAAACAGTGCTTAAGGAGCCTTCTGCCTCAGCCTGCTTGACTTTCATAACAAGATTTCAATTTCATATCAAGATTTCGATTATGAAATGTTTCTTCAGGAAAGATTTCATAATTGCTCTTTGCTTCATGGGCTTGTTAACTGAGATGGAAGAGAAATGGAGTCTGTGGGGTTTTACGGAATTATGTAGTGACCACACAACAAAAACAGAAGGGTGTTATTTTCATACATAACCACACCTGTGAACACTGCTGTGGTGAGAAGGCTGCACCAGTAGCAGAGTCATGTGCAGGCTTGTATAAAACTGGGGGTGATTTGCAGTGGAATCAGTGGCTCAGAAAGCCTGCTGGCCACTGAAGCAAGCCGTGTGTGGGTCCGTTTCTCGCTGCCTTGCTGCTGTTCAGCACAGCAGGGAGCAGCCCCAGCCCTGCGCTGTGCTGGCAGCCCCAGCCGGCCCTGGGCCCCGACTCACAGCCAGACCTCCCCAGGTACCAGGGCTACATCGGGGCCGCGCTGGTGCTGGGCGGCGTGGACGTGACGGGCCCCCACCTGTACAGCATCCACCCGCACGGATCCACCGACAAGCTGCCCTACGTCACCATGGGTGAGTGCTGCTCTGGGGCCGTGTGCCTCGCGGCCAGGGTAAGGGTGCACGCTTCTGTTTGCTCACAGACACGGGCCGGGCTAAAACTCACCCGCCAGAAAACTGATTTTGGGAACGCTGCTCTGTGTGCTACACACCTTAAAGCACAGGAATTGTGGGATTCCCAAAATCTTGCTGAAAAAAAAGAAAAAGATGCCTCAGAAGCTTGATTTTCAGATTGTCCTGACTCGTGGTTCGTACAAATCTCGCTTGGGGAACTTGTGTATTGTTTGGGAGGTTGGGTTATTTTAGAGGGAAGCTTATGTTTGGTAGAGCTGTGGAAGTGTAAGGGAAAGTTCAAATAAATGTATCAGAGAACTGATCTGAAAACAAAGTGTATCAGGTCAGAACATCAGTGACCCTGTGCCTGGTGCAGCATTTATGCTGCTTCTGTGGTGGGAAAACACACGTTTATGGATTCTCAGTAATGTTTTCTGTTGCTGGCCGGCATCTTTGGCTGAAACACCAGCTCGGGAGGTGGCGGAGGTTCCTGTGCTCCTGCTGTCCCGGTGCCGGGGTTCATTAGCGTGCAGGCAGGCCGGGTTCATTAGCGCCCGCAATTAGCGGGGCCGGGCGCTGCGGCGGCGCGCGGCCGCTGGGTGGCGCCAGCGGGCCGGGCACGGCCTTGGCGCGCGTGACGTCATCGCGGGGCTGTGGGCTCTGAGGGGCCGCGGAACCGGCCCGAACGGGGCTGGGAGAGCAGCGGAACCGGCCCGAACGGGGCTGAGGAACCGCGGAACCGGCCCGAACGGGGCTGAGGTACCGCGGAACCGGCCCGAGCGGGGCTGAGGTACCGCGGAACCGGCCCGAGCGGGGCTGAGGTACCGCGGAACCGGCCCGAGCGGGGCTGAGGTACCGCGGAACCGGCCCGAACGGGGCTGGGAGAGCAGCGGAACCGGCCCGAACGGGGCTGAGGTACCGCGGAACCGGCCCGAACGGGGCTGACATGGCCATGGAACCGGCCCGAACGGGGCTGTGGGAGCCGCTCTCCAGCGGAACCGGCCCGAACGGGGCTGGGAGAGCAGCGGAACCGGCCCGAACGGGGCCACGGGAGCCGCTCTCCTCTCCGCACATGCTGGATTTCCTGCCTCCGTTTTAAAAGCTTTAAAACGCGGCCTGTCAGGAATCGAACGGGGCTGTGGGAGCCGCTCTCCTCTCCTCTCCGCACATGCTGGATTTCCTGCGGCCTGTCGGGAAAATCCTGGCAGCTCCTCTTTCCCTTCACAAAACTAGCATGCTGGCAGAGCTAAGTTCAGACGAGGGGGAAGTGGAATATCAGAGGGTTACGTTCCATGGCTTGAACTTGGCTTTGCTCTGGGCAGTACCCGGTGTGTGGTGCCCACAGATTCTTTTTGGCCGCGCTGCCAGACAAAGCCCTCCTCAGCATCAGTCCTTCACCCTCCCAGCCCTGGTGCACTGACACTCCCTCCAGTGACCAGCATCTGTTTTAGTAAAAAAATTAGCTAATGCATATAGGTGAAAGATAGAATTGAGACAGCAGAAAAACTATGAAAAGTCAAATTTAAGATAGCAGTTGGAAATGTATTTCAGTCTTACTTAGATTAATCTATTGTTTTTTGGGGCATTTTATCCCGAATGTTCGAAAGGCAGTTTATTAAATCAGGGGAGGTGTGTTTGGCCAGTTAACTTCTGCAAATTCAGTATTAAATAGGAAGGGTGGTGGAGAAGTTGAGTTTTATTTTGGTGTGCTGGTCTGTGTGGATGAACAGTGGTGTCCTGCCTTGCAGGAGAGATTTTTAAAGGTACACAGTGCTTACTCAGGAGTGAGAACATCAAATTAAACTGTTTATGCTGACCAAGGACAAAATTGGATTTCAGCAAACGATGCAAGATTGTCTGATTGCTTGGCTTGTCTAGGAGAGCTTCTGGCCAAGGCTTATAATGAAATGCATGCATACAATTAAAGCACTTGAAGAGTGCGGTTGGGCTTTCGGAAGCAGGCGGAGCGCTCAGGAGTCTCTGGTGGCTGGAGCTGCTCCCCTGGTGCCAGTGGTGCTTCATATTCATCAATCAGCTCTTGAGTGCAGTGGCAGTGTCGTGCTGCAGAGCAAGAACTCCCACTGCTGGGAGCCAGCCCCAGCCAGGAGCCAGGCTGAAAAATGATCCCGGTCCGAGATCGGGATCCGGACCTGGGATGAGCAGCACATTGAATAACAATGAGAGCCTGTGAGTAACTGCCCTGTCAGGGAGCCTTGGCAGTGATGGATGAGCAAGTGCTAAATGTTGCTCCAAAGCTCAGCACATCCTCTGGTGTGGCAGCAAACAGGTCCTCGGGTGAGGAGATGGCTGTACCCGGCAAGGAGAGCTTGTCTGCAGGGAGGGTTCTGCTGAAAAGATCCAGTGCTTCTGCTTTAGAAAAGCTCCTGCAGTTTTAATTCACAGCGAAAATTACTGAGCTGCACTTTTTTGCTATATATCAACAATAATCTTTCACTTTAAATCAGTACTGAAGTGGTACAACTGCTCGAGTGAAGACCAGATGGTATTTTTAAAGTCAGTTTGTTACAGTTGCATGCAGAAAATTTAACACCTTGGTTGAGAAAATTCAGGAAATGACCAGTGTTACTTAAAGAAGTAAATTCTCTTACTGTTCCATAACTCACCTGGTTCATAGAAAAGCATTTGCCTCAGAGTAGTTCAGCTTCCATAGTCCTATAGAATTTGCAGTCAATATTTTAATGTATGTAGATATTAGATTAATGCTTCCTGAATATTTGGTTCTGAAGTAGCTTACTGAAAATATATGCAAAGTAAATTCTTTGGAGTTGAGATGGCATTTTTTACTTCATGTTAAGTGTAAGCATAGATAGCAGGTTTTCAAGATCTGAAAGGGTTTTTTCCTGAATAATTATGATTAATAAATTATGACTTTGCTAATTATCCTTTGTTTTAATTAGTCCTATTGCTCACATACAGAAGAGACATCAACTTTAAACATATGGAAAAAATAAATCCAGCAAAGAAAATTTCCTACTTCTGCAGAGCTTAGTTTGAAATGTTACCTAAGATAAATACCTGGTGTGGTGCTGCTTTGAGCTCAGGTAAAGACATTATTGAATGACACATTATCACTTGGCTTTCCTGGAGTTTTAATGGATTTGAGGTTGAACTGCTGCCGAATCTGAACTGGTAGTGACTGAAATCAGCTACTTGTGCATGAGGTGGGGAGTCCCTCCCAAGGTAACGGATGGTGTTGTGCTGTGTTTGGATTTTATCCTTCTGCAGACTTTATGTTTGGGAATTGTGAGGCTCGTTTCTGCATAAAGGCAAAGCATGCTTGTTAAAAATGAGTTATTGGTGGGCACCGGGTGCACGGGCAGGAGAGCAGCTGTTTCCCCACACACAAACAAGTTCTCCATAGACCCTTAATATCCAAGTTTTCTGTGGTTTTATAGGAGCAGCAATAAGAAAGCCGTGCTTGCAGTGTTTACTTAAGTTCCCAGTTTTATTGCCCGCTCTGCTGTCACAATGCAGCTTTCAGGAGGCAGCTGGAGTGGCTGGAGCATTGTGGGGCTGGGTGGAAGGAGAGCGGGGCTGGGCAGGGCCAGGGAGGTGACCCAGGGACAGGGAGGTGACCCAGGCCAGGGAGGTGACCCAGGGACAGGGAGGTGGCACAGTGGGACAGAGATAGGGAGGGAGGTGGGCACGGTGGGATGGACACTGATGGAGACACTCACACGTGTGCATGCACTGGTGTTTCTGAAAACACAGGGCTTTCATCTGATGCTGGGAAGAGTAAAGAATTTTCATTGTGCTGTGTAAGATCAGGGAATTCTGTTCTTTCAGAGAATGCTTAGCTGTGCTGGGAGGCTTTCACTGAGGGAAATTTTAAATGTAAGATTGTTTAGGATTTCTAAGCACTAGAGAAAAAATGAAGCGAGTCTTTTCAGCTTTTCCAGCCTCCTCCTTAGAATCTTGGTTTTCAGATGTAAATGTCTACATGTAGGTTTAATTAAGTTAAGACTTTAAACAACTCTTTGAAAATTTACATTATAGGATTGTCTGGATTTATTTATTTAAGGTTGATAGTGGATTTGGCATTTATTTTTGTCTTGGTAACACAGTGAGATAAATAATTAAGTGTAATTCTTTATGTATAAAGGATTTCATGTACTGTAACATAAAATTTCCCCTGCCTTTTTCCCTTTCCTGTTTTTTGTCTTTTAAGTTACTGATTTCCTGCTCATAGTTCTTTTGGGAACTTCTTTTTAAAAGGAGTTGGAGGAATTCAGCACGAGCCACATATGCGATTGTGTTATTGATAATTTTTTATTTGTCACTAGGAGTTTTAAGATCACTTTTCCCCAACTAAATAGCTGATGTAGTAATTTTGGTCAGATATTACATTTTATACTTTCTTTTTGCTCTTTTTCTAGTCCCTTTCCCCAGGAATGGGGTTGTTTTCCAGCTTTGAGGCTTCCCACTCAGCTCATGGTCAGCCTTCATTTGGGAGTAGCAAGAATGTGGGTTCAGTTTGAGACCATAGCCCAAATTTTTTTTTCCCTCTCTCATTAGAAATATTCCTATATAATTCCAGAAGAATTATTGTTTTATTGTTCAGGTTCCTTTATTTGTTTTGGCACCTGCTTTATTTTGACCTTGTTTGAAGGGTCAGTAAAATTCCTTTTATTTGTGGTTTGTTCTGTGCTATCAGCTGTTTGCATCAGCAGTTCAGTTTTGCTATTAGTTGCTTAAAAATCTTTATTCTCAGTTTCAGCATTTAAAAAATGGAGTTGTGTATTGCTGCAAAGTGTAAATGAATAGTCATTGCCAGCAATACAAGTGCATACTTAGAGTGTCCTACTGCTTTTAGATGTGATGTATTTGGTACTGTAAAGGTAATGATCCTCAACCACAGCAATATTCTGTAACAGGAATATCTGTCATATTCATCAGGATTACCATGTTCATTGATTTGTGTCTGTAAATCTGCTGTTTCAACCCTTTAAATTTGATCTATAATTGGACCTCCTTAAATGGTTCAGCTAAGGTAGTCTGTATTTTCTCAACAGTGTCACTGTCAGCTTCTCCTTTTTCATTATACATTCAGCAGACTTGATAAAATCAGCAGGACACCTCATTTGAAACTGTTTAATCGCTGCCTTTTGCTTTCACTAAACCATTGAGGTGGTCAAGCGATATACACAAATCATTTTAAATGGGAAATATGGCTTTCTCTGTGACCCAGCTAAACAGATAGCACTATGCAAAACAAGTTAAAAAGTAATAAATGCCAAAAAATCTTCTAATTGGAGTAAAAAATTGCAGGTAACTTTATTCACTCCCCAAAAGTAGTGCTCTCTGAAATATGGGTAGGGCCACCGACAGACAAGAAAATCTTCCTGAAGGCTCACTCTTCCTGAACAAAGCAAGTTTACAGTTTCAGATAGAACCATCCTGCTTTCTGTGTTAATTCACAAAAGCACATTTATAACCCTGCAATCACAGTGCTTTGGGCAGAGAAGGCTCCTGTTCCATCACTGCACCTGTACTTCCTCCTTTCTGGAGAGGAACGTTCAGCTCGTGGGTCTGTCTGTGGCACTTTGTTCAGCTGGAATTGTTCATGATTGTAAAGATAATGGCACAGAGCAGGAGCACAATTAACTGTTTAACTGCAGCCCCCTGCCCTGTTCTCACTGCTGGGCTGCTCATCCCCAGGGTTGGAGTGGATGGAAGAGGGGTGGGAGGGATGGAGGAGCAGGGACTGCAAACTGTGGCATTCCCTTAACTCTCTGTTTCTAGCCTCGTTTTTGTAGCTTATGTTCAAGATGCTAAGAAGGAAAGGCTGTCAGGATGGGCCTGTGCTGAGTCTGTGCCCACAAGCTGTGCCCCCAGGATGAAATCGGGTTCTGGCTTAGTGTAGACACTGGACAGAGCAGAGGAAGCTGTGCTGGGCTTCAGCTTGGTGTGTGCTGATGAGATGTACTGTGTTTTTCTCTAAAAACTTGCATAGCTAAATGCACTGGCTGAAGGGTGTGCTGTGTTGTCACACAGGTTCTGGATCGCTCGCGGCCATGGCAGTGTTTGAAGATAAATACAAACCCGACATGGAGGTAAGTCCTGGGCTTTAAACCTCAGTGTTCCTTCTCTCAGCAATCCTCACATCGTAAGAATTTAGGAGGCTTGAAACTCTAAAAAAGGTAAGTATGCTCTGTTTTGCTGCACTTAAAATATACAAAGATCAGCTTACTGCAAAGCTGTTAAAATTGATGGGTAAAATAAATAAATATGCAAAAAGCTGTATTAATGTGTGGGGAGATGTGCAATTTGAATGTAGGTGAAGACTTTAAAAACATTCAGCTTACTGGTTATAGTTTACTTAGCAATTTACCAGCCATTGCACAGTCAATATTTTTGGTTTTCTGTTCCTCTGTCCTTTTCTCTCAGTCTTGAAAAGAGAATGCAACTAAAAGTCTTCAGATTTTTCAGCCCTCATTTTTGTAATGCAGCTGCTGTGGGTCATTTCCTCCCCATGAAGTGCACTGTAGTTTCAGGTGATGGTCCCATAAATCCACAGTTCCTCTCTACAAAACTGGTAAATGAAGTTTGAAATGTGAGATGATCTCTTGTACCTTGGTACAGCTCCTGACACATCACAGTGTGCAATTCCAGCAGATTTTTTAAAAAGCAGTCAGCTGCCCCACCTTGTTTTGAGAAGTTTGCTGTTAGTTAATTGCCTCAGCATTAGTAAAAAGCAGTTTTCCAGCTGTCCCTGCCCCTCCTCCTGTCAGTACCTGAGCAAGAGCTGTAGGTGTGCACAGCTGGGGACACACTGGGATCAGGATTGCTGTGATTTGGGCAGCATCTGAAGATGCTGGACTGTTGGCCTCACATATATTTACAATTGTTCTCAGAAATAGTGGAATTTGTTTAACGGGCTCCCAAGTGTCTGTGGGAAGGATCCTCACACCAGATGGCTGATAGAGCCACGAGAGAGAGAGGAAGACTCTGTTTTTCCCCGTCCCTCGTGCTGCTGTAAGAATGAGAGGCTCTTTTCCAGCCTGCTGTGTGCCCGTGCACTTGGCACGTGTGCCATCCTCTCCAAACACGGGCTGCACATCCCTGGAAGCAGCAGCTCCAGCACTACAGTCCTCTTTCCAAGACACAAGTGGCAAAGAGCTGTGCTGTGCAGCTCAGGTTTCCATTTATTCTCAGCTAGCTTTCAGGCTTGGATTTTAAGTCATTTCTTGTGTAAGAGCAGCCGAAAAAGGCACCAAAAACTGGTAAATCTCTAAATTTTCCTATTTAGAAAGGTCATCCTCATTAAACTGTCTTCACATACAACCATAAGTGGCAGCAGATAGTCACTTATAACAAGCATGTAGAAATGCAGCCTACCAATTTGTTGAAATAGATATTTAGATCTTTGAGACTTGCATGCACCTTAACCCTTCCTTTGGTTTTCCTGGCTAATCTGTTATCTAATAACAGTTCAGGAATTGTATTAATCAAACCAGCAAAGTTTCATGTGATGAAGCTCAATGGTACTCTTAAACACTTCTCATATTCTGTTATGGCTGTGAGTTTATATTTACATTCTAAGTCAGATGTGGGGTTTTTTAAAAAATAAATTAATAAAATAACAAATATTTCTATTGAAATGAATCCAGATTAAATCTGAAATATGCTATGTATATTTTACATAAAACTGGGTATGAAATGGCAATGAAGATAAAATTGCTGGAGAGTCATTTAAAAAAATTGGTAGAAAATTATTATTTTTCTGTCAAGATCAATGCTCCTTTCTTTTGCACTAATTGTCAGAATAGCTTGCTAGGGCTACTGGAGGGTAGTGGTGTGCTTCAAGACCATCACATCACAGAAAAATGATTCAAAGGCAAACTGTCCTGCACCCTCTGGTATCAACTTGCAAATTAGCATCTGGAATGTAATTAAACAAGCTTAATGAAAGTAGCAGCTGAATACTACTGGAAAAGACAATCAGCTTTTTTGCCTCTGATATATATTCTGTACCATTGAAGCTGATCACCAAACGCATCGTGTGAGCACAGTTTAAAAAAATTAGCATTTATTTGAAGAATAGGAACTGTTTTTCATTCTGTTATGCTTTTGGCATGCACTGGTGTCCCAGGAGAGCCATGCCACAGCAGATAGTGCACAATATTTATAAATCCATGACAGGCAATAATAGCAACTTGAAAAATTCTTTTGCTAGAATTTCAAGTTGAGAGCTGCCAAAAGCTGAGAGGATCAAATCTGCAGTGGCAGCTGCTGTGCCCTACAGTTAGAATCGTAGACTTTGAAGATGCTCAACTAAAAAAAATAAAAAAATAATAAAATAAAAAAAGACTGCAGGCTTAGCCAATTTTTGCAGGTTTCTAGAGCCCTGGCTCTCTGCCTTTTGAAGATGAGTTGCTGAAGCTTCTCCCAGTGCCTGAGGCATGCTAACACCAGCAGGATGTGTTTTTTTCCATAGACTTAGTGTGTCTTCAGATTTAAGCAGCACATGCTTTATCAGTGCCAGCTGTGATGGTCCTTCCCTGGCTGCAGTGCTGGGAGAGGATCCTTAGCCGGGGTCCTTCAGGGGGCTGTGGAGATGGATGGTGACGTCCCCGAGTGCCACTTGTGCAGCCTGATTGATGGAGGCAGGGCTGCTGGGGAAGGAGTGCTGGCCTCCAGAGGAACCATTAGAGATCGCTGAGGATGGGAACACTTTCAGCCCTGAAGGCCTCTAGATGCTTCAAAAATGTAACGCCAAGCACCTAACTACCGTGGAACAATATTAATCTGTCATGTGGGCAGCTATAGATCTACTTTAAAAAACGTAAGTGGAAGAGCAGCACATCTAATGGAATGTTTCCAGCTTAGATCTTTCATTGTAGCCAATTTTTCTTCCAATAGAGTCACCACTAGTTTTAAACCTTGCAGTCATTTTGTAAATGCATTTGTGCCTTCTGGTGTTAAACAATAGCAGGGAAATACTTTGAGTCAGTGGATATGGAAAGCATTGTGAGCTGGGAAAAAAAATGTCTACAGTATTAAATGCTGGAATTCTGGGTTTATATATCCTGTGGTGGTTGAATTCCTCAGGAGATGGGGAGGGGGATATATTTTCTTCTGGTATTTGATTTCTAGTGTTTGAAAAGTAGAAGCATTTTGTCTGTAGAATTACTTGATGCTCAGTGGGGCTATGTTGTAGACTTCTTGTTTAAGCAAGGAAAGGCTGCTTGTAACTTAATTTCTTTTCTGAATTTCATCAAAACAGCCAGGTTTAGTAAAAAGAGGCTCCAAAAGGAAGAGAATCAGAAGCTACAGAAAACAGAACTTTTGGAGGAAAAGGAAGTAAATCTTGGAGTTGTGAGTTCAGGAGCAGAACAAGTGAAAGACAGGAGATAAGAGATAGTCTGGCAGATACTCAATAATTATTTCTAGGATAGATCACCACAAATGTGTGAGATTATATTTACAGTCATTTATTGTACCATTTCTTAAGTGTGGCAGGAAATGAACTGGTACTGAATAAAAACAAAAATACCCTGGAGGGTAAGAAAGATGAATAAGAGAGGACTGTTGTGAGTGTGTTGCACATGGAGCACTCGGTGCTGCAGCAGCTGTGCTGTCCCAAAACCTGCAGCTTGCTGTCCCCTGCTGTCCCCAGTGACTGCTCTGCAGTGCCTCACCTGTTTGGTGGCACCCACACGGGCTGGGAGCCATCTGGTGAGCACTTTGGCAGGCAGGTTTGGGAGCAGTGGTTTGTGAGGCACTTCTGAGCAGCCCCTGATCCGTAAGTGAAGCAGCTGAGGAACGGAGAGCGCTTTCCTCAGGACGCTCCATGTGCTCTGGGATCCTTGCAGTATCGAAATGCAAAGTAGCCTGAATGCAGCTTTTGCTGTGCACCTCTTATTTCAGTAAAAAATGCATCAGGCACACTACAAAATCTTATGAAAACATGTAACTTTCTTCCATTTTTAAGCAGCTGACACAAAGATCCTTCAAATGTTCCTGTGCTCACATTTCCTACTGTCCCTCAATAGGGTAGAATTATTTTTGTTTATGAAGTACTGACAACAATGCTGAGCTATTTTTGGGATCTGTCAAAAGTCTCTGCGGCTCAGCAATAGTTGTCTCGTTGGTGCTGGTGCCGGGAGAGGGGCGGGAGCAGTGACAGGCTGCAGCCGAGCCCGCTCATTAGCGATGGTGATCAGCCCCGGGCTCAGGTGTGGCAGCTCTAATGACTCGGCACGGTCACCGCTCGCTGCGAGGGCTTGGGCTCCGCTCTGGCAGCAGACAATGCACATCAAGCCAGACTGGGGGAGCTGGGCTGCAGAGCCTGCCTGAGATACTTGAACCCCTGTTGGTGTCAAACATGGAATTAAGTAAATGGGGGTGGGGGGAGATGAGACAAAACCTGACTTGGTGAGCAAAAATCAGGACTTTGTGTTTCTGTGCCTGTGTATTTCATTATCCAGTGACAGCAACTGAGGCTGTTAGTGGCATATCTTCACTCCTTGCTGCCAGAGCTTGTGGCACTGCAGTTTTCAGCTTTCCTGACATAGCTGTGTTCGTGTCTCCTGGAGACAGGGATTTCCATGGGTAAATATCAGGTCTTAGTGCATACAGTCAGCCAGAAAATAAAGGCTTATCATACCTGTTTCTTATTCTTAGGTTAGATCACAATTATCCTGTGGCAGCCTGGCTCCTGCCTGACACGTTGGACAGTTTGTACTGTTTTCATCATCTTTCACAGAACTGTGCCGTGGATCGATTCCCTTTGTGGAACTCGTGTTAAACAGGAAATCTGGGCTGATTTGGAATGTGCCAGCTAGGTGTGCTCTGGCGTGGCTGGGATTGCAGGAGAGGTGTTTTGTGGGGTGCTTTCTGAGGAAAGAAAGCCTGGTTTGTGTCCTGAGGTCGGTGGGACACTGCTGGCAGCACTAGTCTGAGATCCCAGAGATACCCGGCAGTGCTGCCTTCCTGTTTGCTGATTGCAGACTGTATCAAGGGAAATAAATGTTACCTTTGTGTAAATTGGGCCTTGCTGCATGTCAAAGAGCAACAATTTCTTCACCTTTATGAAAGTAACACTTAAACTTTGTCCGTAATAATGCCGACAAGCTGGCCAGAAGCAGGGCTCTGTGTTAAGAGATCATTTCACTGCACAGGGTAGGGGGAGGACAGGTAATTATTTTTGATGCATTTCTCAGGAGCAGGTGTTCCAGTTTAAATTGTTCCAGTTTGTATATCTCCCATAACTGCAGAACACAGGCAAAATGTACTGGAAGATATTTCACATGGCACGAAGCCCGAGCGCTGCTCCCGCAGCGAGGCCGGCGGGGCTGAGGGCAATTGCTGGGAGGGAGGAGGAGGAGGAGGGAGCCAGCCTGGCTTTATGGAGCATTTTGTGTATTAGGAAGGATATATTACCAGAGGGCCCAAGGCCTCTTTTCCAAATAAAACATTGACCTTCATTCCCTTCCATCCTTTTGTCAGAGGTAAAGCAATGGTCAGATGGGCAGTTTGCTTTATTTGAAGGCAGACGTGTTATTGCTTGATATTAATTTTTTATATGCAGTAACATAAAGTAACTTTAACTGTACTCTTTTGCAGGGTTTGCATATCTGGGTGGCTGAGGGTCACTGTGTTACTGCAGAGCAGCACAGAGGGGCCAGAGGAGGAGCTGCAGCCAGGCAGGAATTACAGCTCTGGTGCTGTTAAGCAGTTCCCATTTTGAGAATCAGTTCCCTAAAAACCCATGAACTTTACTAAGTGATGGATTGAATGAGTTTTTGTAATCATTCTTAGTTCAGAGAATGGGAATAGTGTTAAAAGAAATCCCATCGTTGTGAGAAGAGCTTGTAATTTAATTCTGTGGCATTGGAAATATGGATTGTACTAATCCCCGTGCAGGGAATGACACACAGCAGCTCATGTTATTGAGGAGTAGTTCCGAATCATATAAGTTTCTTGTCTTGGCAGGTAATTTGGCATAAATTGTTAATGTAAATCCAGGTTAGTGGGGAAGACGTTATTTTACTAAAAAAGATAAACTGCTGATTAATTCAGTATAGAACTCAATTACAAATTGAAAGTGTCTCTGCGGGACGCCAGTACCCTAAAGACAGCAGATGTTGAATTGATACTCCAGCATATTTCACCCTGGTATGAAATATTAACGTGGTTTATTATACTGGTGGTGTATGATATCAGAGAGGGGGTGGGGACGAGGCAGCTTCCTCTGAACGGGGAAGAACTGTTATCTCAGAATAATTACTGGGGACTACTGAGCAGTTTATCTGAAAGTTCTTAGCAGAGGATGGTTAGAAAAATAAACATTTACTGACACTTCAGTCACAAAGAATCCAAACATAAAACACATAGGTTTAATTTAACATTTTTTTTAAGAGAGACAAGTTGTGTCATTCCTTATTCTAAGGCAGCACTGGAAATGCTCTTTTTTGGGGGGCGATTTGTTAAACCTGAGTGGTTTAAATGACACATGCCAGCCCCTTTCCTGACAGCCAAACCAAATCTATTCTTGCTGCTGGAGCCTTCCAGCCTCCCCTTACAAGAAACAGAAAGTCCTTTGCTTCTCAGGTTTGTTCTCTTTGGACTTGGAGCAGACTTCAGCATCTCTTCCAGGTCAGACTGATCTCCCCCCAGCCCCTCACTCCCGTGCACTGCTGGTTCTCTCCCAGACTCTAATTATGCTCCTGTAGGTGCCTGTGTCCTTCAAGAGGATTGCTTTCTACCCCCAAATTCCAACACTCCTTTATCGATTTATTTTTTGTTGCCATTGTCCTTCCTGAAGCTTCTGATTTTTTTTTTCTTCCCTTCTCTTCCCATATAAGTCTTGGAGATTCTCATTTTAAGTAGTATCAGCTTTCTTTATGATAGCATTTGAACAAATCTCGTTGTAAAAGGCTATTATGATAAGTATTTGCATTTGTTTATTCTTACAAAAATACTTGTTTATGTTGATGTTGTACTGATTGTGCATTGCATTTCAAATCTTCCTAAGAATTGCTTTGGAGAACTGCATTATGTATTGCATCTCTATCACCATCCTGCTGATCTGCAGCGGGCATTAATTTTATTTTGGTATGAAAAAAAAAAATCAGGAGTATCTAAAGTTTTAAAATCTGGAAAAGACATATTCTGTTTGATTGGCTTGTGAAGTTACAAAATGTGAGGAAATCGTGTTCACAAAGCCATTCCAGCTGCTCCCTTTGCTGCTGGAGCATGATAAAATTGTTTACAGGTCATTAGTGAAGACAGTATTGATACAATGTAGAAGTAGCCTCATCTCCTGTAGGAAAGTTTCTTTTTTCCTTCAGTAGTACTTGAAATTTGGAAATTGCTTAAGTGAGAAGAGAAAGTTGATCCAAGTCATATACAAGAATAATGTGTAAAAGTTGCTGCTTGGTGCTGTTTGGGACTCGTGGCACAGCAGCTGTGAGAGGCAATCCATCAGCTCTGAGTGTCTGCAAACTGCAACTCTCCAGATAACAGGTTTAAAGTAAAGATTTAATACAGCCTCTATCTACTATGATGTTGCAGTGACAGTTTAAAACTCATTCTCTAAATCTCAGCAGACTTTACAGCCAGCAGTGGGCCCATATAAAGCTTAATGGCATTACAACACATAAATCATCTTTTAAGGACGCTACCAGTAGCGCCAATATTAAATGCAGACAATTGTCTGTGTTATAAATAATTTATCAAACGGTGTTTCAGATTAGCCTTCCGTGCTGAGTTATTTATTTTAGCCTGGTGCTGTGGGCAGGGTAATGAAGCCCAGGCCCCCAGCCCGCGCTGACCGCTCCAGCCGCGCCTCCAGGCGCTGCCGTTTGTCACAGCAGGTGAAGGGAGCTGCACATGGGGGCCCAGGGACACATTGTGGGCTGTGATGGGCACAGACAGATCGCTCCATAAAGTGCTGCCTGTCACTGCTGCCTCGCCGTGCCCTTCATCACGCAGCTGTAATCTCGTTTAAGGAGCCCTGGGGGCCCCAGAGGAGGATATTCCCAGTTAGCTTGGTCTTTGCAACCATAAAGCAGGAAGTGCTCCTTTTATATACTCTGAACTTTTAGGGTTTTTTAAGATTAATTATTATAGTGACTCATTGAGGGCCCTGTACTTGAGACTGTGTCAGCACTTTGCTGCTAAGCCCTTATTTTGTGAGTGTCAGTAGCAGTCCTTGCTGAACTCCGTGCAGGATCTCTGTGAGGAATACTTGGGCTTTTTCTTGTGGCTGTTCTGTTCAGCTCTGTAAATTGTCAGAAGAGGAGCAGGAAGCAGCACTGAGGCAGGCTTTTCTAATGACAATTATTCCATGTTCAGAGACTGAGCTGCACTGTGTCAGTGAAGGAGCTGAGGTTACAGCCTGGGCTCTCTGCAGTGGCTGCCTCAGCTCAGCTCTTCCAACTGCACTTTATTGGGTATTTTTTAACTGTTCTGATAACAGTAGGGTGATAGAGTACATCTTTAAAACAAATCAGATTTAAATTAGAGGAGTCTGTGAGGTTTGCAGTGTTGACTTAAAAAATGAAATTAAAAGAAGAGTGGAACAAACTCCACCTATGTGCTGTAGTTTTCTTAAGCTGCTTTTATACACATAACACTTATCTAGCTTAAAATTACTCTGCTTTTGCTACCACTTTGTTCTTAAAACAGATCCACACATATTTCTTTAGTTTATTTACTTTCACTGTAGTACTAAAATAACCTTAGTCTGCAACAAATCATTGACAGTCTTATGTCAGTTAAGTGAGGAATTACTTGCTTATCAGGATTTTATTGCCCAAAACACTGAAGGAAAGGTGCAGGAATTATTTTTGCAGCATGGCTGTATTGTTCTAGTCGGCTTGGTAGGAAGTGTAATTCAATTTATTATTTTTTATAAGGAGTAATAGTTGTAAAAGTGGGAGTGAAGTAAGAATTGCTGCTATTTCTGTAGTTCAGTGGAGGCTGTGCCCTACTGCCATGGCTGTTGGCACAGGAATTCTGTCATTCCCACTGCCCAGAGGGGCAGCAGGGCAGGCCTGGGGCAGGCAGGTGGGAGCTGAGCTAATTTTTGGCTCGGGGCTGGAGCAGCTGCAGTGGGGCTGCTGCTGCTGGCACTGCTGCTGGCACGGGGCAGGTCCTGGCACACACAGGCTGAGAATGAGGCACGCTGGAAAAAGCTGCATTTACAAAACTCAGCGCTGACCCCATCTCTTGTTCTGGTGTCTGGTGGCAGAGGATTGTGCCAAGGTGTGAAATAGCAGCAAAGCAATGAGGAGTGAGCCTGGGAGCCTGAGCATTCCAGCAGGATCTGCTGGGTGAGCTGAGCAGAGCTGAGCAGTCCCCACCTCTGTGTGCACGTTCCTCTTCAGCTGCACTTGGTGGTACAGCCGTCCCCACCCCAGCCCTCTGGCTGCGGGTGACTGCAGGGTTTGCTGTGCCATTGACTGTCCAAGCACAGGGCAGTGCTGGGAAGGGCACCCTGGGCAGCGAAAGCTTTGTGCCTTGCAGGAGGAGGAGGCCAAGCAGCTGGTGCGCGACGCCATCGCGGCCGGCATCTACAACGACCTGGGCTCGGGCAGCAACGTCGACGTCTGCGTCATCAGCAAGAGCCGGCTGGACTTCCTGCGGCCCTACGACGTGGCCAACAGGAAGGGGGACAGGTGAGTGAGCCTGGCTCCCGTGGGGCCTGCTCTGCCTGGCAGGGCCTGTTTGCAGCCATTCCCAGCTCTGGCAGTGTTCCCCCATCTGCAGGACTTTAGCTAAACAGAAAGCAGCTGAACAGAGGCTGATACAGTGGTAGAATAACTCTAGAGTTGCAAAACATAAGTAAATTGCTTGTTCTTTGGTTTTTAGCACAAATGTCCCTCCCCACTCTGAGAGCCCTCCAATTTCAATAAAAACCTTTCCATACATGGCAGTGGTTTTGTGAAGAGTTTCGTGCAGTTGCTGGTTTATCTGAAACTCTGTACAGATTTTGCAGAAAGCAGAGTTTCTTTACTTTGGACTTTTACAGGAAATGTCTAAAGCTGATCAGTTCTAAAATTTTAAATGCAAGTTTTTCTCTGTACCATCTTCCAGACTAATTTTCCCCCATTTCTTTTCTAGGTTTGGTAGGTACAAGTGTGAAAAAGGAACAACTGCTGTTCTCACAGAGAATGTGGCACACCTGGAGCTCGAGGTGGTGGATGAGACCGTGCAGACCATGGACACATCCTGAGCCCTGGGGGTGCTCTGAGAGCAGAATAAAGAGGCTCTGCCCAATCTCTGTGTGTCTGTACCTGGTGCTGCTGCTTCTCCCTTCCTCCTTTAGAGCAGGTGAGGCTTGAGCAGCCCTGGGGGCTGAGCCCAAGGGGAATGAGCAGGTGAGAGCTGTGCTCCCCTCCAGGCCCCACTGGCACTGGGGCACAAAAGGAGCTGCTGTGTTACCTCACTCCAGGAGCAAAACAGCAGGAGTAACACTGCTCTGCCTTTGCTAAGTTTTGATGTAACAGAATGTAGAAAACAGTGAGCATTGGTGGTTCTGAATTGCCCCTGCCCCCTCCAGCAGACACTGCCCTCCTGCTCACTGCAGGGCATCCCTGCTCATCAGGGGAGGTTGATGTTGCTGCTTCCCTGTTTGCTGTAGACAGGGCAGATCCAGCATCATTTCAATCTGAGTGTCTTGTTATTCACCTCCATTTGGACCTTTAATACTGGATTTTTTTGATTTTAAACAAAGGTGTTTATTTTGGAAATAATTTTTTTATTTATCTAAAAAGGCACAGTTGCAAAAAATTACCTTTTGAAATACATTTCTTTATAAGCACTAGGAAATTTCATGTAGCAAGAAAGTGACCAGACTTCTCCAGATACTCATATTTGAGCTGAGCTTCCCTGGAAGCCATGGCTCCAAGGAAAGCTGCAGTGGAACCAGAGAGGTTCAGGCTGAACTCTGGGAAGTGCTAAAGAAGCTGGTATAAATAACCAGGCTGGTTGGCATGGAAATGGTGGGAGCAATTTGGTGCCTCCACGACATTCTCCTGCTGATTTAAATTTCCCACATCTCTCCCAAGAGCAGCAGCCTCGACTTTCTGCTGAGAAGCCTCAGTAAATGGCACCTTCCATTAATGATACCAACCATATTCACAGCAATTAATGGCTTTTCTTGGGACCCTATACAAATATTCCCAAATTTTACAGGAAGTAGTTGAAGATGGCACTGCAGTTTTCCTTTAAGTAGAGAAAAGTAGGTTAAAAAAATCCACTAAAAGCATATATATGTATGTAACCCCCTAACCCTAATCTTAGTTCAAAAAAGTTAAGGATTGTAAGCTTTCTTTAAGAAAAAAACCAGGCACAGGCTGCATTTGAACTGTCACACACAAAGGTATACATTGGCACAGCCCCTGTCCCAGAGGAAGGGCACTGGAGCAGCACAGGCTGAAGGATTTCCTCTGGAGCAGCCCTGCTCCTCCTGGCAGGCACATGGAATGGACACACTGGAACGTGAGTCCACGGCTGTTCTAAGGCAGTGAGTGTTTCCATCGGCAGTAAAGAAACAAATCATTGATTCAATGAATGAATTTAGCTGGTTGACAATTTCCATGCAGTTAAAGACGATGACTCCTTCAGATCAGGCTGAGATTTTATAAACATTCACATTCTGTAATGAGCTTTCACAGTTTGAGAGAAGGGGCTGATCCTATGCAGAATTCCATACACAAAGCATTTCATTTATTTTTAAAAAATTTTCCAAGTGTTTAAAACACTGCTGAAGTTCCACCGATAGTACCCGATGTACTATTGAACATGTAAAAGTCTCTGCACCAAAGCTGAGTTGGCTTTGACAAACACTGGTTTTAAACAGGAACCTGGAGGTGAAGAACCTTTCCAAAAGGGAAAAAGGAGGGAAAGGAGCAATTCTCTGCAGGAGCAAGGCTGGTAGGGGTTTGCTTGGCATGTTTATCTTCTTTTCCCCAGGCTCATGTTTAACTCATCTCTGACAGAGAAATGCATCAGCAAAATACTCTTAAGTTTTCAATTAAAAAAAAAAAGAAATCATGAAACAAAAGGGTTTCCCACCCCCCAAACCCTTCCCAGTTCATAAGTCTGAAGAGGAGGAAATTAATA